AAATATCTCTTTGATATCCCCAGAGTTAAACTTAATCTGTGTAAACACTATGCAAATAAAGGGACCTAGTTTATGGAACTCACTCCCTATTGAATTGAAAAGCTGTCCAACTTTTGCGTCATTCAAAAACAATACTAAAAAGTACCTAATTTCATCTTCATAGTTTTTTACCTTTTGCTTTAAAATTGCACTGTATCTATTGCTACCCAATCTCCTAATCTTTATGTACCCAATCCGAACATCTTTACAATTGTGATCATTGCTGTCTTCTTCGTTTCTTGCCCGAAACGCATTGCGTAATAGTGGCTTTAGGCATTGTATGTACTAGCTCTATCTATATATCAATCCATTAATGTAACATCACTTGTATGTATATACCTTACCTGAATAAACATCTGAATCTGAATCTGAATCTGAATCTTATATGTCTTCAATCTGCTGTATGGTGTCTATTAATCTTGTTTAAATTACCAATCAAGCTGTCAATGTAATCAATCAGAGCTTTAATATGCCAATGTGCTTTAATATACTTACTAATCTCTCTCATCTCATTTTTTTCTTGCAATGTATTTGTTATCATTTTATTAATTCTGCTAGAATTTACCTACATAAAATTATCTGTTAGATTAAGGACCTGCCCGAAACGCTGCGCGTACTAGTGGCTTTACAAGAGTGTAAATACTATGCTATGTATTCTCACAAACCCAATGTACCTTCTTGTACGTAAATAAATAAATAAATAAATAAATAAATAAATAAATAAATAAATAAATAAATAAATAAATAAATAAATAAATAAATAAATAAATAAATAAATAAATAAGTAAATATTAAGCCACTGCACATCCTCTCTTGTGTACTCTATATATTTAAAACTGTGAATTGTAAAGTCAATCCTGACCTTCAACGCTTCCTAAAAGGTTGTAACAGAACTCATATGCACACACCAGGAAAAAAAACCTCTTTGATATTCCAAAAGTTAGACTTAATCAAACTAGGAATGCTCTACAAATCAAGGTACCCAGAACATGGAATGACCTTCCCAATCATGTCAAAGATTGTACCTCTCTCAACCAGTTTAAGATGAAAACTCAGTACTACCTAATTAACTCCATGTAACCTACCTTACTTCTAAATGTCAACCCATGTCTTACTATTGAAAAAAAAAATGCTATTTGTTGACCAACTTGTATATTGGCTATTTTCTACCATGTTCCCCCTCTTTTTTTATCTCTCATTATTTTTGTTTTGTTTTTTCATTCAACATAATTTATACTTTAAGCTCAATTACTATTAAGTTTTAGTCTAAGTGATTTTTTCCCCACCTCTCCTTGCCCGAAACGCTATGCGTACTAGTGGCTTTAGGTATTGTATGTACTACCTCTATCTTTAAATCTAACAGAATGTTTGTACTGTAACGCTGCAACATGTATATACTGTTCCTAAAAAATTATTATTATTATTATTATTATTATTATTATTATGATTGGGAAGGTCATTCCACATTCTGGGTCCCATGATCTGTAGAGCATTTCTAGTTTGATTAAGTCTAACTTTTGGAATATCAAAGAGGTTTTTTTTCCTGGTGTGTGCATATGAGTTCTGTTACAACCTTCTAGGAAGCGTTGAAGGTCAGGATTGACATTACAGTTCAGAGTTTTAAATATATAGAGTACACATGAGAGGATGTGCAGTGACTTAATATCTAACATATTTAAAGATTTGAGTAAGGGTACCGAGTGCTGTCTGGGGCCCCTTGTGGTCGATCCATTCATCTGCTAGAATCCACTTAGTAAAACATTTAAACCACTGGGACCGACTAAAGAGTTTAAATTTGTATTCCTTTGGGCGCAGGCGGGAGAGATACATAATAATTTACACGTGGAAAATATTAGAGGGGCTGGTCTCAAACCTGCACACAGAAATAACATCACATGAGACCAGGAGGCATGGCAGGATGTGCAGAATTATCCCGCTGAAGAGCAGAAGTGCAACAGGTACTCTAGGGAGAGAGAACTCTATCAACATCAGAGGCCCGAGACTATTCAACACGCTTCCACTACACATAAGGGGCATAACTGGCCGACCCCTCACAGTGTTCAAGAGAGAACTGGATAAACACCTCCAAAGAGTACCTGATCAACCAGGCTGTGATTCGTACGTCAGGCTGCGAGTAGCCGCGTCCAACAGCCTGGTTGATCAGTCCAGCAACCAGGAGACCTGGTCGACGACCGGGCCGCGGGGACGCTAAGCCTCGGAAGCACCTCAAGGTAAGGATCTCGAACCCATTAATGAAGTGACGATGTGTATTGAATTTTGTAACTAGCTCATCAAGATTGTAACTTGCTTAGCTAAATGAATTGTGGGGTTCAGTCCCTTAGCCCATTATGTGCCTCTGTAACCCTTTCCACTACCGCGCACAAGATGGGTATGAGGTGCATAATAAATGAACTAAACTAAGCTAACAATGGAAATAAGTTATTTGCGGTTGATTAGTGTTGAAGTTCGGTGTGAGTTATGGCATATTAGGTGTCCATGCACTGACAGAGCAGCAACTAGGCCATGTAGTGTTGGGCGGAGACGAAATTAACCCGAATTTTGTTCCATAGTGGCAGTGCCTCCGGTTGTAGTTTAGTTCATTTATTATGCACCCCATACCCATCTTGTGGGCGGTAGTGGAAAGGGTTACAGAGGCACATAATGGGCTCAGGGACTGAACCCCATAATTCATTTAGCTAAGCAAGTTACAATCTTGATGAGCTAGTTACAAAATTCAATATAAGTCGTCACATCAACAATGGGTTCGAGATCGACCTCAAGAACAGGTTCTAAATTAAGTAACTGACATATGTGGAGAGCTAGTGTCACAATTTATGTTTGTCCTGCACACCGCCCCCCATCCAGTGGGCAGCGGTAGATAGGTTACAATCACTTAGTTACTACCTACAGTTAGCAAACTGGGGATATTTGGCTAAAATTTCTGGTAGCAGATCATTTTGAATGAAATTGTAACGTGCGTTTATGTTACGTTGTTGGGTTGATTAGATACACAGTGTTTAGTGAGTTTCATATTTATTTAGTAGTCCTGGATACAGCAGTGTCGTAGACGTTGAGACGAAGCCTGGAGCAGAGCAGAGAGCTGAGTGAGGCCGGAGTCGTGGAGCTCTATGTGGGAGAGCGTGGCGGCTCGATTGAGAATTGTAAGTGTCTGAACTCGGGGAGCAAGAGAGTGGCGGCTCGATGCGGTCGTAGTCTGCTGTCTGCTCTGTGTCGAAGCTGTAGCGTCTTGGGTTGATTAGGACTGTACACGCCGAGTGCTACATTGTTGACTGGAAATTGAACTGTCTTCTATTCGATTGATTGATGAAGATGAAGCCACCCAAGAGGTGGCACGGGCATGGATAGCCCGTAAGTGGTGGCCCTTTTGAGCCATTACCAGTATCAAAAGATGATACTGGAGATCTGTGGAGGTGCGACTGCACCCTGCGTGACGGGAGATGTCTCCCGGACCAAATGGTGACCAAATGGTGGTCTTCTATTCATCAAATCGTTGCTTATATGGTGATTACACCTCAGCTTCCTCCAACAAGGTGAGAAGAGTATTACCTGTAATTGGGGAAAGGATTGTAGCTTCTGTAATTAGTTATGCTATTAAGATAATGAGATAATGGAGCGAGTATAAGATTAACTCGCTACAAAATATTTACACATCGCTGGAACATTGGTTATAGAATTGTCTCTAAATTCACGTATCTTTTCGCACTCCATCGCATAGTGACAGAGGGTGTGCGAATAATTTTGTTGACACAGTTTACACAGTTGACACAGTATTCAGGTCTACATCAGCAGATAATGAGAATTCCCAGATATAATTGTAACAGAGTCTAAGCCGAGCAGTAGTAATATCTAGAAGTCTGCTGATTTTATTGGATGATCCATAGATGTGTGGCTCCTCTTGCATGATAGTATGATGATAGATGGAATTACTGGTGTCAATTTCACTTTGCCTCAGATCTACAAGATCTTGTTGAAGTTCTCGGTGTACTGCTGCTCTCAGATTGCTCATTGACAATCCAAGGTTACACTCAACGATTCCTTTAAAGGCAGATTCTTTGGCTAACTTATCAGCTCTATCATGCATGCCTCCGCCAGCGTTCCCGCCAGTTTATAAAGGCAGATGAGGCTATCATTCACAAAGATTAATACTATGACGTTATCATGGTAATTTAAACAATCATAGTATTAACTTCACGACATTATAATTGTCTCCACAGTCGTGGAAACCATTTTCTTTTAAACTTATTCCCGAAGATATAGCAGAAGTTTACACTTGACTAATTCAATTTACTCATCAATTTATTCTAATTTTCATCTAGTAGTTCATCTCAATATATTGTCGTTAAATAATTATTTAGTTGAAAATAAGGTTTGGTCGGGTAAGGAAAATGGCTAAATACCAATGCTATGGCAGGATCGCGAACTCCACTCGTGTCAACCCGCACTTCTAAATACAGGAACCATGTGTTGGAGAAATTTATACCCGTATATCCCATAGGGACCACTGTTTTGCATGCGTAATTATATAACTTCATATATTAATTAAGGAATTGTATAGACTCGAAGGTTATTTGGCAATACCGTTTAATACTAAAAAATTATTTGGCAATACGTATTTACGTATTTGGCTTACAATACGTATTGGTATTACAATACGTATTTGGCAATACGTTTAATACTAAAAAATTAATACTGTTAAAATTATCTGCTAGATTAAGGACTTGCCCAAAACGCTGCGCGTACTAGTGGCTTTGCAAGAATGTAAATACTGTACTATCCAATGTATTCTCACAAACCCAATGTACCTTCTTGTATATAAATAAATAAATAAATAAATAAATAAATAAATAAATAAATACAGAGAGGTGTATTTCTTCATGTGATGGGTTGGGAGCTCCAATGAGGTTATTGGAACGGCTCAGGTCTTCTCCAGTGACCCAGTCTGTAGTGTAACAAGGCGGGTGGTTGCCTCAAGTGATTAGTATACCATAACAGTTCTTTTTATCCATACATATAGTGATATAAAGACTTTGGCACGGTTATTAATACCAAGAAAATAATTTAGGAGGGAATACTCGCCGAGAGCAATACAGAGAGCTCAATAGAGGAGGGAGCGAAGACTGACTCGGCCGCCATGATGAGATCGCCTGCCCGGGATGAACGCCATATGGATGAGGACCTGCTAGATGAATTTGTAATACTATCGAGCGGACCAGATAGCGAAGAGGATGACGACTGGGTGGTACGTAGTTTGTAGTTTGGCTTGAGATGAAAATTGGGGGTTTAAATGGGGTTTGTTTGGCCAAAATGATGTAAAGTCGTCCCCAAGGGAGTTGTTGGGGCTATGGACGATCTTCAACCTTATTGACAAAACTATTCAGTTAACCCAGTTGTACTCTCGCCCTCTTGCTGCCCTTCCCAGCCTTGCACCCAAGGCTTCCACACCTGTGTTAGGACCGCGTAAGCCAGGAAATTGCCCATAATGGTGGAGTAGAGGGGAAGAAATAGGCGTTAGAGGTGCAGGGGTGATGTTGGACGGGGTCAACCATGATGGCGCCTCTGGCTCCTCTTAACCCACTCTTCTCTCACTCACTCAAGTCCCCTTTTCCCATCCTGTTTCTTTCCTTCCCCGGCCGGTGGAGTCGGCGGGAACCGATATTTGTGCCCTGCCGAGTCTGGCTTTGATAAATGAGGCGAGTGACTATGTCTCGACTTGGCCATATAGTCGAGGCCTTCAGAGGCACAGTTGTAGCAAGCCGTAGGCCTAATGTGGGGAGGTGAGAGCCTAGGCTCCAGTGAATTGGTTTTAATTTAATTCTTGGATGTGTTGCATAAGGGGGGGGGGGGATTGGCATGTGTGTGTCGGGCATCCTGTCGTTGTCATCGCGAAGTTTTGCATCTTTTTTTGACGAAATTTGTTTTGGAGGTGGGAAAAATGATCAGCCCAGTTTTTGTTTAACTGGTTACTTAGTACCTAATGTGATATTGATTTGGGTCAGTTATGTTTAGTTAGGGCAATTTTTTGCTTTCTTTAATTAGTGAAAACTTAGTTCTGTTGATTTATTTTTTTTCTTGATAGATTTCTAGCCAGGTACCTGTCCAGGACATCTGTACTGACTTGAAGATATCAACTGTATTGAGATCTTGTGTTGTATGGAACTCAGTAGTATGAAAAAGGAAATTTTGAAGGTTAAAGATTGCATTGGAACTTGTATAGCTTTGATCAGAGTTTTATTAAAGTTTTTGAAGGTATTATATGGTACCAAGTGCTAATGTTTAGTCTATTTGATACTGTAATCTGTGGCCTAACATACTGCAGTCTCACTGGCATTAAGATTGATGTACTGTTATGTTTTTTTTTTTATTTTATGGTTGCATTTCTAGGTTCAATACATGTATGCTATTCCTGGTTTAACAAAATTTATATTTTGCACTTTATTCTGCTACACAAGTATCTTGTTTATTTTCCTTTTTAAGTGAAACTTGTTACTTCAAAAATCATTTTAGATAACATCATTTGGCATAGTTAAAACAGTTTCACATTCTAGTTTCTCTTAGATTCTATTACATGGTGCATGACCAATGGGTGAGAGTCCTGATTTTTGGGCTGTTGAAAGATGTTCAGAGCAGGCACTTTCCTTGGTAAGAATGCCATTATTCCCATCATGGTACAGTAATGGCAAACCTACTAAAGTACCTGAGGCACAATGCCATTATTTGAGGTTGTGTAAATACCAGTTTTTCCTAATAGCACACTTTATTTATTTATTTATTTATTTATTTTTATTTATTTATTTATTTCTTTATTTATTTATTTATGCATATACAAGAATGTACATTGGGAATGTGAGGGTACATAATATGGTAATTACAGTCTTGTAAAGCCACTAGTACGCGCAGCGTTTCGGGCACGTCCTTAATCTTTTATGTCCAACTTTTACATCATTCAAAATCAATACTAAAAAGTACCTAATTTCATCTTCATAGTTTTTCACTTTTTGCCTTAAAATTGCACTGTATCTATTGCTACCCATGTTCCCAGTTTGAACATCTTTACCATTGTGATCATTGCTGTCTTATATGTGCTGTCAATCTGCTGTATGGTGTCTATTTATCTTGTTTAAATTACTAATCAAGATGTCAATGTAATCAATCAGAGCTTTAATATAACAATGTGCTTTAATATATTTACTAAGCTCTCTCATCTCATTTTTCTCTTGCAATGTATCTTTATCATTTATCAATTCTGATAGAAATTACCTACTTAAAATTATCTGCTAGATTAAGGACCTGCCCGAAACGCTGCGTGTACTAGTGGCTTTACAAGAATGTAAATACTGTACTATCCAATGTATTCTCACAAACCCAATGTACCTTCTTGTATATATATAAATAAAATAAAAATAAAATAAAAAAAAATAATCTAAGAAAATTTTAAGGAGGTAAATACTTGCAAAATTTATAGACAAAAAAATGATAAGTTACATGGAATGAAAAAAAGATGAGAAAATTGTAGGTACAGTATATTAAAGCACATAGGGAGCTAAGATTGATTGCAATGACAGCTTGAATGGTAGTTGACAAAAATTGGTAGGCACAATACAGCAGAAACAATATAAGATTGATTGCAATGACAGCTTGAATGGTAGTTGACAAAAATTGGTAGTCACAATACAGCATATGGCTAGCACATAAAAGAAGACAGCAATGAGCCCAATGATAAGGTTGTTTGATACTACATAAAAATTAGGAGATTGGGTAACACTAGGTACAGAGAAAATTTAAAGCTCAGTGTAGGAAACTAAGATGAAATTAGGTACTTTTTGGTTTTGCTTTTAAATAAGGCAAAAGTTTTACAGTTTTTCAATTCACTAGGGAGTGAGTTCCATAGACTAGGTCCCTTAATTTGCATAGTGTTTACACAGATTAAGTTTGACCCTGGGGATATCAGAGATTTATTTCTGGTGTGGTGATAATGGGTCCTATTACATCTGTCCAGGAAGAGTTTCAGAGCATGGTTTGCATTTAAGAACAGGGTTTTGTAAATGTAGTTGACTACAGTCTCCGTGGTGTAGTGGTAAGACACTTGCCTGGCGTTCTGCGAGCGCTATGTCATGGGTTCGTATCCTGGCCGGGGAGGATTTACTGGGCGCAATTCCTTGACTGTAGCCTCTGTTTAACGCAACAGTAAAATGTGTACTTGGATGAAAAAACGATTCTTCGCGGTGGGGATCGTATTCCAGGGACCTGCCCGAAATGCTACGCGTACTAGTGGCTGTACAAGAATGTAACAACTCTTGTATATATCTCAAAAAAAAAAAAAAGCTAATTTAATAGCTTCTTTTCATCGATTGGTGCTAACCTTGCAAGTAAAATCCCACAGACTCGGAGACATATCAACACATATCTCTCAGGCAGCTATCCAAACTCTCTTCTCCTTTCACCAGTCAGCCCGACATGTTGTGTCCATCATACACTCACTAAAAACCAAAGCTGGGAACATCAGTGAAATTCCATCCATTGTATACAAGAGTGCCTCCCATGCCCTTGTGCCACCTATAGCTCTGCTGTTCAACAAATCCCTTGAGTGTCATGCCTTCCCTGATATCCTTAAAAAAGCAAGAGTAACGCCAGTTCATAAAGGAGGTAATCCGGCAGACATAAACAACTATAGACCAATATCAAACCTACCCATTCTATCAAAAATATTTGAAAAAATTATCTACAAACAGCTCTACTCCTATCTCGTAAAATTCAACATTCTTAGCCCCTGTCAGTTTGGCTTCCGCTCTCAAAAGAGTACCAACGATGCAATTATTAGTCTCGATATAATTTACTCAGCCCTTGACAAAAATGAGTTTCCGATTGGACTCTTCATTGACCTGAGAAAGGCCTTTGATACTGTTAATCACGATTACCTCTTATGTAAACTCCATCATTACGGAATCCGAGGCCATGCACTGGACTATATCCAATCCTATCTTGGTGATAGACACCAATGTGTAGCCATCAATAATATATATAACCTCTCCCATTCTACCAATAACTGTTGGAGTGCCACAGGGCAGCATCTTGGGACCTCTTCTATTTCTTATATACATCAATGATCTGCCTAATGTCTCTAACATTCTGAAACCTATTTTGTTTGCTGATGATACTACCCTCATCTACTCCAACCCCAACCCACATACATTAAATGATATTAATAATGAACTAAAAAAAGTCCACTTATGGATGTCAACCAACAAACTAACACTTAACATAGAAAAGGCCTACTACATCCTATTTGGAAGCAAATCTACAAATGCAATTCAGCTTCAGATAGACAATGTAAACATTAGCAATAAAAATGATGGAAAGTTTCTTGGCCTATTCCTAGACAAGAGACTCAACTTCAGCACCCATATACAACACATAACTAAGAAAGTCTCTAAAACAGTTGGTATACTCTCCAAAATCAGATATTATGTACCTAACTGCTCTCATATCTCTATATTATGCACTAAACTATCCCTATCTCAACTATGGTATCTGTGCATGGGGTTCAACCACTGCAAACCACCTCAAGTCCATCACCCAGCATAAATCTGCTATCAGAATAATATCAAATTCTGCTTTCAGACAACACTCGGCCCCCTTGTTTAACTCCTTAAACATGCTAAACATAATCTCACTCCATAAATTCTCTTGTGTCAACTACATTTACAAAACCCAGTTCTTAAATGCAAATCCTGCTCTGAAACTCTTCCTGGACAGATGTAATAGGACCCATTATCACCACACCAGAAATAAATATCAATTTGATATCCCCAGAGTTAAACTTAATCTGTGTAAACACTATGCAAATAAAGGGACCCAGTTTATGGAACTCACTCCCTATTGAATTGAAAAGCTGTCCAACTTTTACATCATTCAAAATCAATACTAAAAAGTACCTAATTTCATCTTCATAGTTTTTCACTTTTTGCCTTAAAATTGCACTGTATCTATTGCTACCCAATCTCCCAACCTTTATGTTCCCAATTTGAACATCTTTACCACTGTGATCATTGCTGTCTTATATGTGTTGTCAATCTGCTGTATGGTGTCTATTAATCTTGTTTAAATTACTAATCAAGCTGTCACTGTAATCAATCAGAGCTTTAATATAACAATGTTGCTTTAATATACTTACTAAGCTCTCTCATCTCATTTTTCTCTTGCAATGTATCTTTATCATTTATCAATTCTGATAGAAATTAC